GGAAAGGGTAAATAGATGCTGGACAGCCAATATAACATAAATGTCCATAAGTACTTGGTAAATAAAATTTTGAAAGGGCCTGAAGCAAATTCAAATAATAATGTTTTGCTTCAGAACCACAATCTGGTTTCAAGTCTTAGACTCCTAAAGCTAGGAAACAGCTTGGGATCTGATATTTTCAACTTCTGATTACTGCTCATGTTGGATTGGAAAATGCAGGTTCCTAGGGGTCATGTGGTGTCTAACAACAACTATTTATTGTTTACTATATGTCAGACACTGTGACAAGTACATTGCAGACATATCATTCATTTAATCTTCCTGATATCAATATGGTGTATATATATTATTGCCTCATTTTACAGATGAGCTGAGGTACAGACTATTTAAAAAGCTTGCATAAGGAAGGAATATAGAAGAAAGCCAAAAAGTGGCATAATCCTAAGTATAGCAGAAGTAGAATGAGAACTAAACAGAAGTGAGAATTTAAACTAAAGTATCCTCTCACATCAATTTTAATTTTTATTGACCCTGTGATCTTATTCAGACAGATATGGCACTGATACCACAATAGGCATAGGTAGGAGGATGAAGACATGTCAGGAATTTAGCAGTACTAGTTGGTGAAGAAAGGGATGACGTTAACGCTAAGCATAACCAAGCATGACCGAGACTAAAGAAACAATCAGAGAGGCTGATGCCCACAAGGTAGGCCCTTGTTCACTGTCCACAGAGTACATGAAATTCAGACATGGCATAGACAAGCTGTGGCACCAGTGCAGTCCTATTCAGCAGAAGGATATAGTAATGTAGTAAGCTTAGTCAGTGGGTGATGTTTGAAGAAGTTCAGTAGCTTGAGGGTAATGTATCATAACAGTATCCTGCCCAATGAACTAGGATCTAGTCAGAACTGGGACTAGTGAAAAATTTTCCAAACCAAGCTTAAACTTTCAGATTAGATGGGAGCTTAGGAATTGATATAGTTTCAATTATGAAAGAAAAGCAAAGGAGAAGTCCAGTGCTATAGACTGGGAAAATATCAGGGATATAGGGGAGTGGCACAGCTTGAAGTCTACCTGTAATCCAGCACTCTTACTTGGCATTCTACATCTTCAGAGGGCTGCATGGTTCTTATGCGTGGGAGCTGTTGAGACATTTAGTCTTGCTCAGATTTCGTTCATGATCTGGGAAGGACTCTTGAGGTAGAAATATGAAGATATAACCACGGGGAGCAAAAGAAGACAAGAAGAGGGAAAATGGAACAGGGACTAATTATTATGACCATCTCCAAACTTTAGATTCATGTATTACTCAGAATTCAAGCTGTTCTTGAAACCATTACAAGAAAATCACAGCTTTAGCTAACTCTTTTCCATTTATCACGAAACAACATTCTTTGGATAGCCAAACTTACTTAAAAACTGCCAGCATTCAGGTCTGCTAATGGATAAAAACAAAAATTAAATTGCCTAGCTAGAGATTTAGTCACTCTTTTTGGCAAGACACTTTTACATTTTTATGCTGTTTTAGCTTTTCCCTATGGAGCGTTTTCTTTATGGAAGTTCTCTCTTAAGAATGTATTCTCTTCTCCACGAGATTTTAACATGGTCTAAAAGTTGTCTTCTCTTATTAATATCCTGTCTAGCCTTTACCTTTAATTTATAGATGATATACTCTCTGCATGGAAAATACTCCTTTGAGGAGTGCTATGAACTGAATTTTGTCTCTCCAAAGTTCATATGTTGAATCCCTAACCCCGAATGTGATGGAATTTGGAGATGGGGCCTTTGGCAGGTAATTAGGTTTAGATGAGGTCATGAAGGCGGGGCCTTCTATAGGATTAACATGAAGAAGGGAGAGAGATCACCCTCTTTCTCCATGCCCACACATTGAGGAAAGGCCATGTGAGGACGCAGGGAGAAGGTGCCAATCCGAAAGTCAGGAAGAAAGATTTCGCCAGACTTTGACCATGCTGATATCCTGATTTCAGACTTTCAGCTTCCAGAACTGTGAGTTACTCAGTCTGCAATACTCAGTCTGCAATACTTTGTTATGGCAACCCGAACTAAGACAAGGAATCCTGAAAATGTGATTTTATTAAACATTTCTGAATATCAATATTATAACATGCAATAAAGTCTCTCAGAAAAGTTTTGTGATTCTTGTACATTTATTTTGCCACCTACCAAATACTTCAAACCATCCTTCTAAGGATGGTATAAAACAGTGTCTTGACTCTTTCGAGCTGTACTCATGTAACAATCTGAAATAAAGGTTGCTAAGCAATAGCTTCCCCAAAACCTGCTATAGCTGCTTTCTCCCAGAATCCTTCTTGTTCCTCCCCTTGACTGTAGGCTTGATGGGGGAAGAAATTATTCTCCTCGTCGCAGTAAAATATGTTGCTCTGCTCCCAGCCCCTGGCTATTGTTATAGTTCTCCATTTTGCATCCTTCCCTGTTCTACTTCATTGTTTACTTCTTAATTACATCTTTCTTCCAAGTACTTCTCCTTTAAAATAATGTTAAAAAATAAAGAATTAAGTATAATTTGGTGATGCCTCAGGCCTTATTCTGGCAACCAGTTAATCACCATGCCAGGTTTACCATTACAGTTAAGCAAAATATTGGAAAGAAGAAAATGAATGTTTTATCAGTTTTTATTTTGAAAAGTCTTAGTAAATATCTTAATCTCATAATTTCCTGCTTAAAACCATAATCAAACTGTTTCGTTTCCATCTTTCTTCCACTTTAAATTTTACTGCTTACAAAGGAGAAAAAATGGCCAGCTTTACATTCCACAAACTACATACCATTCTCTCTCACCAAGCATCTTAGGACATGTAGACAAAGCTTTTGTCAAAAGAGAATTTGATAAACGCAAGTTTCCAATGTACTATAAAATTGTGACAACAGCATCACATGAATTTATGCTATAATCATAATGAGAAATATTAATAGAATATAAATACCTGAAGAGTGGTAATACCAGGAAATGTGAGGTGACACAACAAATAAACTGTATTTGATTTGTAATATAGCAGAGTGAAAAGTATAATCTGGCTGCTTAGGCTGGAACATCATGCTATAAGATAAAGAGTTTTGCTTGCAATGCCTGTGGTTTGGCTTTTCCTTCATTAATATAAGCTGTTTTCACATTGCCAATTTTTCATATATATATAAAATTTTTTTTTTTTTTTTTTTTTTAGACTGAGTCTCACTCTGTCGCCCAGGCTAGAGTGCAGTGGCGCTATCTCCACTTATTGCAACCTCTGCCTCCCAGGTTCAAGTGGTTCTCCTGCCTCAAGTCTCCTGAGAGTAGCTGGGATTAGAGGTGCACGCTACCACACCTGGTTAATTTTTGTATTTTTAGTAGAGATGGGGTTTTGCCACATTGGCCAGGCTGGTCTCTAACTCCTGACTTCAAGTGATCCACCCACCTCGGCCTCCCAAAGCAATTTGTTTTATAAGTTAATAGAATGACCTGAAAATTTCATTGCCTCCTACCTGGGTTACTTGTCTTTTTTTTTTTTTTTTTTTTTTTTTTTTTTTAGAAAAGGTCCTACTATGCGGCCCAGGCTGGCCTTAGACTCCTGGGATCAAGGGATCCTACTGCCTCAAGTCTCCCAAGTTGCTGGGACTATAGGCATTCACCACTACACCAGGCTTTGCCAATTTTAATCTATAGGAGTTTATGGGCCAAATTTTAACCAAATTCTTCACTGCAGTGTTAAAAATGTAAACACTTATTCCCATCCATTTCTAATATAATTTAATAAATATCAGTCAAGTGAAACAGCAGGAGGGGAGAAGGAACAAAGAAATCTGTAACTGGCTGTGATCAATTCGTTTTAAGTACCACTGTACTTACTTAGACTAGCTCATTTTTAATTTAAAAATGTGATTTGATCATATATTTATATACTTGACTTTCTCAACCATTTATGAAAACTTAGAAGGGTGGGTGTTCTTTATCAAAACTGAGTTTTTTGAGGTAGAGAGAATAAAATGGTTTGTTGGGAGTTGAGGACAATATTTAGTTTCCTTTGTTGCAGACACTTCTACTGAGTGAGATGTCAACTTTGTTTCTTGTCTAGCAGGGGGTCCTGGGAGAGATCAGAAATTCTGGGATATGTTATCTGCTTGGGCAAGTCATTCACAATTCTGAGCATGCATACATCTTAGCTGCTTTTGAGTCTCCTACAGAATGACGGTGTGGTAAGTATGGAGCAGAGCTCTTAACACTACCCTTCTAAGACTGGTGATGCTAGTCTCCGCACTCGTGGGTCACGCATCACCTTTATAGGAAATTTCTAGAAAATAAGATCTCATGAAGTATAGTACACCCATTCTCCTGCCCCGAGTACTGGAACTACAGGCGCCTCGCCCACCACGCCCAGGCCTCAATTTTTGTATTTTTAAGTAGAGACGGGGTTCCACCATGGTCCCTCCGATCTCCTGACCCTTCGTGATCCGCGCCGCCTCGGCCTCACCAAAGTGCGGGATTACACGGCGGTGAGCCACCGCGGCCCAGCGCTAGTCCTTCTTAACTTCCACAGTTTGAGAAGAAAGTGATGAAGGGAGGTTTTTTTCTTTTTTTTTTTTTTTCTATATTCATATTTTTTTTTTTTTTACCACAGGGCACTGGTGGCCGCCTGTCGGTCGACGGTCGGCTCACAGCCTGTGATCCAGGCACTTTACTCGAGGCCAAGGCGGGGGAATCCACGAGGTTCAGGAGAAGGAGCCTCCTGGGCTAACACGGCTGAAATCCCCATCTCTACCTAAAAATGCAAAAAATTAGCCAGGGCGTTGGCGGCGGGCGCTCTGTAGTCCCAGCTACTGGGAGGCTGAAGGCAGGAGAATGGCAAATGAACCCGGAGGCGGAGTCCTGCGTGCGCCACTCCCGGCCTGACGAAGAGACTCTGTCTCCAC